CCATAATGCAGAAATAATGAGTCTATTATTAAGTGCCCACAGTACTTCTTCACTCCGGTGGCTCGCCTCCAGCAGCAGGCAGAACCTGCCCCGCTTGAAGTGGATGTGTCATCATTTGCCTCAGCAAATCCGATCCCCTTTGATGATGGGCCAAACGCCCTTGGCACGAAGGGCCACAGCTGTGATACAGGCCCCACTTTTTTTTTTTTCTTTCTTTCCCTCCTCTCTTCCCTTTGTTCCCAGCTCGTTGGCTCGCCCCGGACCTGGGGTGAGCGCGCGTTGGTGGGCGCAGGCAGCCGGAGCCCTGCGTCCCCTAGGATTGGGGCTGGGGGGGACATCCCCAAAGCGTCCCCAAAGCATCCCCACGTCCCCCCTGCTCCACAGCACCAGGGAGCAGGCGCCCTGCTCGGCGCGAGGACAGGTTCCCAGCGTGGGCGGCGATAGGGAGCGCTCCTGCCCTTCCCTTGGGCTGAGCCGCGCCACCCCAGCCCCAGAGCCGAGGGTGGGGACCCTGCGTGGCCCCCGGCCCCGTGCTGGACGCCGGGCTGGGAGCCTGGGGGTCCCCAGGGGAGCTGGGTTATCCCTCACGGGCTGTGCTGTGTGCCGGCGGTGCTGCAGAGGGAGCTGGCAGACAGCGTCTGCAGGCTCCTCCACTGGGCTCCTCGAGCCTGTGCCCAAAGCTTCTGCTGGGGGTGTCCCCAGGGCCGTCCCCTGCTTGGGAGGAAGAGGAGGAGGAGGGTTGCGGGGTCTGGCTGGGGCCAGGGAGAAGCCGGGACCCTCCTGGAGGAAAAGTTGCTGTGGGAAAGGTGTCGCGGGGTCTCCCCACGTGTGCTGACCCAACTGCCCGGCGCTCTGTGTGGCTCCCCTTTTGTGTACGTGAAGCACTCGTCAGCGGGAAAAGTGCAACCTCAGGTTCTCTCCCACAGGCAGCTCTTTGTTCCCAGATAAAGGGCCCTGCACCAAAGGCCCTTTGTGCCGCTGCTTAGAACGGTGCTGGGATTAATTGTGCCGATAGGTGCTTGAATGGGGAGTGCACAAGGCCGCCCGCTCCCGCCATAATCATCTCGAAACTGAGGAGGAAATTAAAATGTCGGGGAGATGCCCCTTTTGGTGGCTGCTTGGCTAGCAGGCACCGAGGCGAGGCTGCGAGCGGATCCCCAAGCAGCCACCTCTCCTCCTGACAGCCAGGGAGAGGCAGGCGCTGCCCCAGCGCCCCGACGGAGCCGCCGTGGCGCTGGGTGATGGGATGGGATGGGACAGGACGAGATGGGATGGGACGGGACGGGATGGGACAGGACAGGGTGGCCCAGCCCGGCTGCCTGGGGCTCGGCTCCCGCGGGCCGGGCGCGCTGGTGCGCGTGGCTCCCAGGGAGCGCAGCGGCGTTGCAGAACAGGTTCCTCTGTTTGCAGCAGGGCTGCGTGGGCGTCTTTACTAACTTTCCTCCCTTGCCTTCTTTCAGGATGCTCAGGACCGCGCTGGCTGCCTTCTCCCCCTTCCCGTTGGGGCGAGGAGCTGGCGTCGTACCCTGCCAGCGCATCCTGATAAAGCCGGCGGTCCCCGCTGTTCAAAGGGAAGAGCGCTTAAATCGGAGCCGGTCAGTGGAGACGCTCCTCGAGCCTTCCCCAGCGGCTTCATCTTGAAAGAATTTTTCCCTTCTGGCTCAGCCAGGGCTGAGCTGCAGACCCCGCCGCGGCCGCTGCGCGTGTCTGCCGCCGAGCAGCGCGGGACGGGCTCCCTGGGCCTCTTCTGGGGGGGAGCTGGAGCGTTTGGCTGGCCGCGGAGCGTGCACGCAGCATTCCTGGGCCCCTGCGTGGGAGGAGGTCCCAGTCTCCAGATGGGCCCACGCCAGGGCTCCCCGTGCCCCGCAAGCTGCCGAGGACCCCACAAAAGGGGATGGCAGAGCAGGGGCTGGGACCCCCTGCGCTTTGCAGCTCGCGGTGTGCGTAGGAGGAAGCTTTGCAGGGCGGGGAGGAGGCAGCCAGAGCCGTGCTCGTGGCCCCATCTGAGAAGTGAGGCTCTTTCCCGGCTCCTGGATCCGTCCCTGCCGTGGAAATCCTGCTGGTGTGTGGGGGCGGCTGGGGATTGCTGTGCTTGCCAAAATAGAGCAGGGCTCAGTCTCCATCTGAGCTCCTTTGCCTCGGTCTGGCCTGGAGGTAAGGAGAGGACACCTTCCCGGCACTGCAGACAGGGGTGATAAAGCAGGCCTTAGGGTGACTTCCCAACGCTGGGTAAAATTGGGAGCCAATTTCCCGTTGACTAATGAAACCAGGCTCTCTCCTCGGTGTGCGGGCTTTGGGAGGCTTTGACTCACGGCTCCGCTGCCCATGACGCTGTTCACGTCTCTCCAAAGCACCTGCAAACCTCCAGTCCCACCTCTGGCACCGCGCACGGGTGGGAGCGAGCCGCCGGCGCTCCCCGATTTCCCCCTCACCCCAACCCTGGGTGCAGACCTGTTCCTTTAGCAGGGGGCCAGCGCGCAGCATGGCCCAGGCACTTGCTGGAGAAAGGACACGAGCCCGGTGCCGCTCTGTCGAGAAATCCTTGGGGCAGCTCCGAGGGCACCGCGCGCTCTCTGCAGCTCGGCTGCGGCCGGCTGGGCTCAGCGGGTGACCGCCAGCCCCGGGCAGTGCCGCAGCCCTCGGGGCCGGCCGGCTGCGACCTTCACGCTCGGCAGGCTGCGAGGGGAGGCTGGGGACGACCGCTGACCCCGGCCGGCCCCGTGCGCTCCTGCAGCTGCAGGAAAGCCTCGCCGCCCTCTGTGCCGGGTCCCGTTTCCTTTAGCTGCGTTGCCCGGTGATTTTTATTTTTATGATTTTTCCCTCCCCGCTCTCTCTCTCTCTGTGTGGTTTACGCGGCTCTCGCGCCAGCGGGGCCGGCTCAGCTCTCTTGTTTTCTTTCCCCTCCTTGTTGGTCAGAGGGGTAGAAGCTGCCAAATTAGGGTGCAGCGCGGCCAAGCCCTGCGCCTACCCCAGACCGGTGCTGGCGGGGAAGGGCGCTGCCAGGAGGGGACCGCCGGCTGCTGCACCCCATCCTCGGGTGCCGCAGGGCGCTGCCTTGGGCACGGAGGCTGCAGGGCACGCAGGGCTTTCCCACGCACCGGGGGGCAGATTTAAGGCTGCTACTTCGGGACCAGGCTGCCCGCAGGACCCCCATGGCCGGCCGTACCCCACGCCCCGTTACAGCCCTGGGTCTCCGCTCCGGGGACTTGGCAGCCCCGTGCTGTCAACGCCGAGCGCGCGCTTGGCTCCGCTCCGGCGCTGCGTGCCTGGCCCCCGCGCAGCACCGCTGTGCCCTTATTAGGGCAGCTGGCGCGCGGGGCTGTGCCTCGGAGAGGTGCGGGTGGCCCCGCTCCGCAGCCCCCTCTCCCGTCCCCTGCGTGGGCTGCCCTCGCCAGGAGCCACCGTGACCACCTCGGCATGGCACGGGGGCTCCGGGGAGCGTGGCAGCCTGCCTGGCTCTGTGGCTGCCCCTCTGATTTGGGGAAAGAGTGGGGCGGAGAGCCCGTGTGTCCCCGAGGGGCCTTGTGTGTCCCTGAGGGGCCTTGTGTATCCGTGCCGCGGTGGCACTCGTGTCCCCTGCCCCGCTGCTTCAGGGCTGCGTGCCAGCTCCTGGCGCGTCCGTGGGTGCCAGGCCAGGCGGCGCTGGCTGGTGTCCCCGGGGTGGGACTGGGAAGGAAGGTGTTTACCTCCAGCAGGGCTTCATCTGAAACCCTGTAATGTGCGAACGTTTCCTTCCTCCTCCGCGCTTCCTCCTTGGCTGGGTCAGCCGGTGCTTTTCCTGAGGTGGAAGGAAAGAGGCTGAAATTGCCCCTTGGCTCCCGGGGCTGAGCCACGGCGCCCGGGATGACTGTGCCCGGCTGCCGGGAGCGAGCCGCGCTCGGGGAGCTGTGGCTCCGTGCCCTTCATCTCCGGGGCAGAAGGGGTGAGGGACGGACAGACGGACAGCCCTCGGGGTTGGGGTGCAAAGGGAGGGGAGAGGTTTTGGAGCTGGTCCTGCTGGATACCCTCTGAGCAGGGTCTGTAGGGGCAGAGGGGGGAAAAAAAGCTTTACCCAGCTTGGGGCTTTGCCTGGTGTTTGCAGCCCCTTCACCTCAGGCTCCCCATGGGCACGAGAGGACCCCAAATGTGCCGAACAACCCACGGGGCCATCCTGGGTGCAGGGTAGCAGAGCCAGCATCCCACGGCAGGGCAGGACCCCGTCCCGCCCCGGATGCAGCAGGGTGGTGAAGCAGGCAGGGGACCAGCAGCAGCAGCCCCCGGCACGGTGTGGTTCCCTGTCATTGCGTTTTTTCCCCCCGTTTTTGTGCCCGGTGCTCAGCTCGGAGCCGCGCGGCTCTGCCTGGGATTAGCGACAGCTGCCTGCAATTGCAGCTCTTCCCAGACAAGCGTCTCGCTCCCCCAAGGCTGGGGCTGGGGCTGTTTGGGGAATGCTGTCGGGGTGGTTTGTCTTGTAGTCTGCTCCAGGAATGTTGGCCAGACGGTCAAATTCTTCTCCCCTCTTGTAAAATGAGTGATGTGGGGCGTCTCTGGGAGAGCAGCCTGCCAGTCCCTCCTCCTCTGGATAAACCTGCCTGGCCCGCACCGCCCTGTCATGGGAATGGGCCCTTTCAACCCCAGCCACAGTAAATACGAGCCCTGCCAAAGCGCAGGGGGAGGGCGCGGACGGGGGGCCGGGGAGGTGGGGGGCTCGGCGGCCGTAGAGGGGCCGGGGATGGCAGCCTGTCCCCGTGCCACCTGGCCGCCCCTCGCCCTGCACCTCCGTGGGGACGCCTCGCTCTTCCTGTGCTCCTGACAGCAGAGCAGAAATCTGGAGCCTGTCTGTGCCGCTCCCCCTCCTCCCACCACGTCTCACCCCCCAAGTCGCTGTTTTCCGCAGAAATGTCAGCTCCTTTCTTCCCCCACTCCTCCTGCGTTTTTTGTTTTTTTGTTTTTTTTTTTTTCCCCCTCGAATCTTGGCCTTCAGCTCCAATTACTTCTCTCCTTCCTCCCTCTCCCTCCAGAGACCCTGATGGACACGAAGTGGGTGACCTCGGAGTTGGCGTGGACAACCCATCCGGAGACGGGGGTAAGTCTGGAGCCGGACCTGGTCCCCGGTGCCACAGGGCACGGCCCTGGGGGGGTCGGGGTCGCTTCCCTGTGCCTTCACCCTCCCCTCCTGTGCATCCCCTGCCTGGTGGGATTACGCACCCGTGGCCCCACGCTGACTCCAAGCACGGGTACGCCGCGATCCCTCGGCACCCCGTTAGCTGCTGCCCTGCCCCGTGCCCTTCGCCTGGTGTCCCCGGCTGGGGGTCTGACACGCTGCCTCCCTCTTGCAGTGGGAAGAGGTGAGCGGCTACGACGAGGCCATGAACCCCATCCGCACGTACCAGGTGTGCAACGTGCGGGAGGCCAACCAGAACAACTGGCTGCGCACCAAGTTCATCCAGCGCCAGGACGTCCAGCGCGTCTACGTGGAGCTCAAGTTCACCGTGCGGGACTGCAACAGCATCCCCAACATCCCCGGCTCCTGCAAAGAGACCTTCAACCTCTTCTATTACGAGTCGGATACGGATTCTGCCTCGGCGAGCAGCCCTTTCTGGATGGAGAACCCCTATATCAAAGTGGATACAATTGCCCCGGACGAGAGCTTCTCCAAGCTGGAGTCGGGCCGCGTGAACACCAAGGTGCGCAGCTTTGGGCCCCTCTCCAAGAACGGCTTTTACCTGGCCTTCCAGGACCTGGGGGCCTGCATGTCCCTCATCTCCGTGCGGGCTTTCTACAAGAAATGCTCCAACACCATCGCTGGCTTTGCCATCTTCCCGGAGACGTTAACGGGGGCTGAGCCCACGTCTCTGGTCATCGCTCCGGGCACCTGCATCCCCAACGCAGTGGAGGTGTCCGTCCCTCTCAAGCTGTACTGCAACGGCGACGGCGAGTGGATGGTGCCCGTGGGAGCCTGCACATGTGCCGCTGGGTACGAGCCGACCATGAAGGACACCCAGTGCCAAGGTGAGTGCACGGTGATGGGGGACTCGCTCCGTCTTGGCCCTTCTGTTGCGTTCATACGCGTGCGCTGATGGAGGAGGCAGCTCTGCGCTGAGCGAGGTCTGGTTTTGGAGGCTTGGAGCTCGCTGAGCACGGAGCAAGGGTCACTGCGGCGATGGGGAGGTGTCTCAGAGGATCGCTGCACTTGGACTTGGTGTCTGCTGTGCCACTGCGCTGCAGGTTGTGTCTGCTGGACTCAGGGGCACGGCTGTCAGCAGGGACCCGGCTCGTTGCAGCCCCCACGCATCACTCGCAGCCTCTTTCACCCCTGCTGTGGTGACCAAGGGCTCTGCTCCCTCCCTCCTGCGGCGCACCGAGGTGCTGATGGCCGGGCTGTTCCCGGCAGGCGTGATTTCACGCTGCCGGTGCGGAGGCATTCAGGAACCCCGACGGCGAGCGGGGCCCCGCTGGGCAAGCTGCGGGAGAGGCGAGCGCCCTGCCAGCGCTGCAGGCTTCCAGCAAGCTGTGTAGGGAAACAGGCAGAGAACGTGAGCTTCCGCAGCCCCTCAGAGGGAAAGGAGAGAGCATCCCGCCTGTGGAGAGGTGGCATCAGAGGTTTAGGGGCTGGCGTTGCTGTTTTGTCCCGTGTGGGGGATGTTGCAAAGGAAAAATCTGCCTGGATGGATGTTGGGCTTGCTCGGGGTGGTTTTGTCCTCGGGAGCTGCCTGCAGCACGCAGGGTGATGCCCGAGGGTGGTTTGGGCAGCAGGAGGGATGCTCACTGCTCCCCAGGGCCGGAGGCATCGCGCGGGGAGCAGTGGGCCCCCAGGCTGGATGCTTTGTGCTCGCCGATGACGGGATCCTTGGCGCCAGCCCTCTGCTCTTGGCAGGGGCGATGGGATGCGGGATGTATACATGACCGGAGCGGCTGGCCGGGCTGCTGCTGGAGAGCAGAGCCTCCGCTGGTCCCAACACAGCTCCTGCCATGCTGTGCGCTGGGGTCCCCGCTCCTGGGGAGCTGCTTTCCGTGTCGCTTGGGCTGGGAGATCGTGCAGACCAAGGGCTGAGGGCTGTTTCCCTGCGTCTAGAGGGGCTTGGGCTCGAGGTGACAGCTTTTCCATGCCGGCATTCGTGGTTCCCTGCTTGGGGAAGGCAGCAGAGGCTCTGCAGAGGCGATGCTCTAGCCCAAGCCATGCCCACAACCACTGCGCTCACAAGCGAGGTGTCCAGAAGAGCAGCTCGGGCAGCAGCTCGGGGCAGGGCTGTAGGGCTCCCTGGGTGACATTCAGGGCATCGCCGCAGAGCCCGGGGCCGTGTCCCCTCCCTGCTCCCCCCAGGAGGAGCAGAGCCCGGCGCTGCGCCTCTCCCAGCACCGCGAGCACGCCTCCTCCTTCCTCCATCCTCCAAGCCCATGGGCAGCACCTTTATTTTCTCCCCCGAGCCTCAGCTTCTCTCCCCGCATGGGGAAGGCTGAGCCCTACGGGCACGTCCCCATGCACCCTTCTCTGGGTAGGAGCGGTGTCTCCACGTTGCTCTGGGAAAGTCGCGCCGCGCTCGTACGATCAGATTTTCCGCCATATGATCGTGTGCTCTAAGTGGAAACAGCTGAGGAAGGGCTCGGAGAACCCAGCTCCATTTTCTGCTCTTTGTTGGCTGCCTCCTCGCCGCGTTTCTGCTCTTCCCCCTCCCCACGCTGCTGCAGCTCGCCCCGCAGGAATGCCCCCGCCAGGGGCTGGTGCACAGGGGGAGCAGGACGGAGCCCGACCCCATAACCCTGCCAGGCAGGGGCTGTGTCACAGCACCGGGGGGCACGGTCCCCATCCTGCCCGGGGGGGGACACGAGGCGCTGCCCCCCGGCTTTGTGGAGCTCTCCCGGGCGTGCGGGTGAAGAGCGCCGCGAGGTGCCAGATGGCATTTTAATAAATAACAATGCTGCGTTACCGCTTCGATGGGATAAGCCCTGTTGTAAATCTCCCCCCTTTCCCCAGACTTTGCCGTGGCCTTTGAAGATCTCCTCCTCCTCCTCCTCCTCCTATTTATCTCCATCCAGCGCCAGGATTAGACTTCGCATTCAGACCTGTTACAATGCAGCTCGGATCCCGGTCCCTCGGGAGCCGAGGGCTCATCCCGCCCGGCTGAAGGCAGTTTCTTTGGCACGCTTTGTAATGCGATATGCAAGGCTGGTATCTGGCGCTCTGCTCAGAAGTTGCCACAGCATTGATTTGGCATCTCATTCTCAGCCTCATTATCTTTATTTAATTAGCACACGGCCCTTCTGGGGGTTGTGCTGCTTCCCACACGCTCCTCGCCACGGAGATGCGCGGAGGCAGCGCTCGCGGCGCGGAGACGAGCGAGCTCCTGGCCGGGGCGGGGGGCCCAGGGGACACGCTGCCATCCCACCCGTCTGGGGGCTCTCTCCGTGACGACCCAAATCACACCGGATTTTTGCTGGTGAGGAGCTCCCCGCCTCATGCAGGCAGGTGTCGGGATTCCCCTGTCGTGGTGCCTGTCGTGGGAGCGCAGAACAGGTCGGCCGCCGGCACCTCCCCGAAAACGCTGCCGGGCGCGCACGCCCCGCACCCCATTCGGGAGCTGCGCCCCAAATCGGGGCCGTGCCAGGGTGCACGGCCATGCAACGCCACCTTCACCCCGACACAGAAGGGTTTGGGAGCCGGCTGCTGCCTTCCTCCTGTGCTAGCAGCGAGCCCCCCACACGGCACCCCCATGGGGCTCCCTGGCACTGCCCGCTGCCTCGGGGCTGGTGAAAATCCAGACTAAGACTGAAAACCCAGTCCCACAGAGCCTGTGCACGGCGCCGGGCTCCTCTCAAAGCCGTTTCCTTTGGGTTCCCCCCAGCGGAGGCGCTGGGGGCCGGCGCTGCGTGTTTGGGTGCCGCCAGCAGGCGATAGCAGGTCAGGCTGGGGCCAAAGCGTGGCTTTTGTAAAAATACCTTTTCCTTGCAATCAGTGACTAATGGAAACATCACCATGAATTAAAAAAAAAAAAAAATGCCAAGCCAGCAGTCCCCTTGCCAACTGTTTGCAGCTTTGCATTGCAACACGGGGTTGCTGCACGAAAACCAGGAAGTGAAACTGCCTTCTATTAATTGGCCGGGATTACAGATCAAAGGCGGCGCGGCAGCGCTGGAGCTGGCGCTTCAGAGCCGGGCAGCTCCACAATGGCTCGCTTGTAACACGGTCGAGGAAATCTGCCTCTGCCGTCCTGCGTGCTGACCCGCCGCGGCTCGAGAGGCAGCGGCGCTTCTTGGAATTTTTTCCCTTTAAAAAAAAAAAAAAAAGAATTTTTGGTTTCCTGCCTGTTCCTCGGATGCCACTGTTGGAACCCCGAGGGGCTCTTCCCTTCCTCAGCCCTTCGACTTCGCTCCGTTGGCGTTTGGACTGCGCTCGTCTAAAATATTTCCACCCAAAGGGTGATTTGGAAAAAAATAAAAAATCAAAATCAAGTGCCTTTTAAAAGAGGCTCGGAAGGAGAGTTGGAGCTGGGCTGCTGCTCGCGTGGCTCTAATCCATCTGCAGCCGCTTACGAAAGCGCGAAGGGAGTGAGCAGGGTAGGTTCACAACGCACAGATCAGCCCAGGCAAACCTGATTGCTGCCTTGGAAGAAATTACAGGGTTGCCGGACAAAGGGATGTGATCAGTTTAATTTATCTCGACTCCAGTGAGGCTTTCTGCTTCAGTCCTACGGGGAGGGAAACGGCCCTAAAGGTGCTGCCCGGGCTGGAACAGCATCACGCGGGTAGAAAAGCACCGAGCCCTCAACCAGGGTAACTCGGGGCAGTTTTCCCTCGCTGCTGGGAGCTGCAGCAAAGCAGGGCTGGTGCCTCGTGTCCCCATGGGGAGGGGGCACCAGGTTTTGGGGCTGCTCGCTGTGCCAGGTTTGGGGCCGTTGCCCACATCCCGTAACCGATGAGTGCGTGCAGGGCGAGTCGTGGCGCCCTGATGCTGCGCCGATGGCTTTATTTCGGTGTTTTGCAGCTCCCTCCTTTGGGCTTCCTTCTCTGGGGTGGGGTAGGCGTGGAAGGGTGCCCCCCGTGTCCCCGTAAATCCCCACTGCAGCCCTTCATCCCCGGCTGTCACTCCGGGCTGCGTCTCCCTCCTGGGCGCTCCGCCTCGGTTCCCCGACCTGTTGTCCTGCGCCTGTCAGCCCCTGGCACATTCTCCCCAGAGGTGACCGCAGCCCGGAGCTGGGCGATGCCATCTGTGTGCAGAGGCTGGGGATTGTTGTTTGATTTTTTTTTATCACCAGGAAAAGCTCAGGGAGGGGGAGAGGGGAGCCTGGCTGCCCGGCCAGGGCTGCAGTCGCGCTCCTGCTCCGGTGATGCCGGGTTCCCTCGGCGCTGGCTGCGCGGGCAGCTTGTTGCAGAGCAGAGATGACACAGCGGCTTATCCGCCGGGGACCTGGGATCAGCTTGCAGCTCGGTTACAGCCTTCAAATGTGGCTGAGAGCTGTCACGCTGCCACCGAGGTCTTTACACTCTGATTTATTAAACGGAGCTGGATGCCTCAGCGCTGCGGCGCAGCTGGGCCTCGGTGCCCCTCCTGCTCTTCCTCGCCCTAAATCGGGGTGTGGGCAGAGCTGTGCCCCCTCCTTGGCCGGGGTGGCAGCGAGGGTGCCGTGCAGCCGCCTTCACCTCTTGCTTTGTGTCATCTCGGTGTTGCCCTGAGCTCCCACGGTGGCTTTTTGTTCCCTTGGTGCAGGAGCCAGGGCGAGGAGAGGAGGAGGAGGCAGAGAGGAAGGCACACCTCGCCGTCCCCGGCTGAGGCTCGGGCTCCCCGGCTTCACGCAAACGCTGGTGGCTCCGGTTTCATCCCCCGCAACAAGCCCATTATTTCAGGAGGGGGGGGTTTGTCCCTGATGGATCTGGGCTCCTGTCCATAACCCAAGCATGTTTGGCAGCTCTCGGAGCCCAGAGTGTTCCTGTCCAAGAGGTTTCAGTCATCTCTCATTCCTCAGCAATCTGGTTCCTTATGTGTGAATCTGCATCCACCCAGTTTTAACTGCCTGGGACTGCGGCTGGGGTGGGTCTGTGCGTGCTGAGGCTGCTCCGGCACCTCTGGGCAGCTGCCCTCTGCGTCCCAGCCTGTGGGGCTGGGGGGACACGAGCCCTGGCTCCTTCTCCATCGCCAGCAGAGGAGCGCAGCGGCGTTATCTGCACACTCGGGACGGGCTAAACTTTAATTCCCAAAGGCTGGGGGAGCTCGGGTCAGGGAGCTGCAGGAGCTGAGCCGTGCGGGCAGCCCCAAGCAGGAGCCTCCTGGGGGCTTCCAGCCCCTGTCCCCACCGTGTCTGGCAGCAGGAGAGCGGGGAGAGCCCCAAACACGGCGTGGGGCTGCCAGGAAACCTCCGCTGTGTCGGGAGAAGCCTCGCGGTGAAGCAACTCCTCTTGTTTGTGGCTGATGTCACCTGGCAGGCACGGGACAGGAGGTGCCGCTTCGGGGACAGGGCTGCCAGCAGGGCTACGTGCCCTGGGTGCCGTGCCGGCCAAACGGGGGCGATGCCAGAGCAGGGGGGGGGGTCTCGGTGCAGAGCAGCCCCCGTGGCTGGAGGCAGGCCCCGTGCTGGCCTGGTTTCAGGCCGTGGTGTTGCAGGGCTGCGATAAACGAGGCGGCGTGGAGGCGGGGGGCGGTTTCCCGACGCTGCTCGGCTCAGCTGGAGTGCCAGCTAATCCCCTCACGTGCCCCTCGTTAGGGCTGAGTGCCCGTGGAGTGTGTGGGGCCGCATCCAGGCTCCTGGCTCCTTCATGGGGCAGGAGGCTGGTGGTGCCAGCCTGCAGGAATGTGTTCATCTCGCTCCCCACACGCTGCTGGAGCCGGCCTCAGGGTGCCACCGCTGCGGGCTGAGAAGTGGCTGAAGTGGCTGAGTGGAGGAATGGGGCAGAGGGGCTGTGTTTGGGGCTGGGGGGGTTCTGGGGGGGTGCCCAGGCAGGGTCGGGGTGCTGGGCACGGCAGCCAGCTGGGGAAGGGGGAGCAGTGCGTGGCAGAGCCCCTCCGTGGGAAATGGGGAGAGGGAACAAAGCGGGGTGGGTGTGGGGTGGGTGTTCCTGCACGGGGAAAGCTGTGCCTGTGCCAGGGGGTCCCTGGGCACCATTTATGACCTGAGCAAGCTCGGCTGTGCTGGCACCAGAGAGTATCAGCTCCCCGTAGCAGCCCTGCTCATCCTGAGGGGCTGGGGCACGGCTCCCTGCCCTCCTGGTGGGCTTGGGACCTGCAGTGAGCTCGGAGAGGGGGCCTGCAGTGAGCCTGGGATGCAGAGATCACTGTGAGCCTGGGAAAGCATCTCCTGGGCACGGTCACTGTGCGAGGAGGGACGAGTTGGCGAGGCGTGCAGGAAGCCACAGGATTTGCCCCCAGCTTGTAGCAGTGCTGGAAAGCTTGTAGGTGGCCGGTGGCCCTCCTGCCACCACCCGGACATCATGCAGGGCAGCGAGGGAGGGTCCCGCAGTGGGTGCCCTTCATTCACACAGATTTTTTTTCCCTTCCTGCAGCCTGCGGCCCGGGAACCTTCAAATCCAAGCAGGGCGAGGGGCCCTGCTCCCCCTGCCCGCCCAACAGCCGCACGACCTCGGGAGCAGCGACGGTCTGCACGTGCCGCACCGGCTTCTTCCGCGCCGACACAGACCCCGCCGACAGCGCCTGCACCAGTGAGCCCCACCAGGGAACGGGGGGGAGGCGAGCCAGGTACGGGGCGGGGGGCACGTGGCAGCCGTCCCTGACCCCCCCTTTATGCGTCCAGGCGTGCCGTCGGCTCCTCGCAGCGTCATCTCCAACGTGAACGAGACGTCGCTGGTGCTGGAGTGGAGCGAGCCGCAGGACGCGGGCGGGCGGGACGACCTGCTCTACAACGTCATCTGCAAGAAGTGCAGCGTGGAGCGGCGCCTCTGCACGCGCTGCGACGACAACGTGGAGTTCGTGCCGCGCCAGCTGGGCCTCACCGAGCGCCGCATCTACATCAGCAACCTGATGGCCCACACCCAGTACACCTTCGAGGTCCAGGCGGTGAACGGCATCTCCAGCAAGAGCCCCTTCCCTCCGCACTTCGCCTCCGTCAACATCACCACCAACCAGGCAGGTCAGTGTCGCCGCTGGAGCTGCAGTGCTGCCGTGCTGCCGGCTCTCCGCTCCTGCCTCTAATCCCCTGGGTGAATTCTCCTCTCCGCTGGAACGTGCGTCCCTGGAGGGGATGAGATCAGAGCGCGTGCAGGCGGGGAAGGGCAGGCTTGGCAGATGCTGCGGAGAGCTCCGGAGCTCCCAGACCCACCCCAGAGATGTTGCGCCTGCTGCGAAGGGAGGAGGAAGGAAATGAGATTTCTCCCCTGTGGGCCTGGGAAGGCTCAGCACCAGCCCCAACCTTCGCAGGCAGCCGGCTGCTCTGCCATCCCTCCTTCCTCCCGCCCTGGCCCGGCTCCAGCGTGCTGCTGGTAATCTCCAGCCGCCGCGCTCTGATCTGATTTCACGGGTCTCACCGGTGGGGTGGGGCGGGCGGCTCCTGGCAAGGGGAAGAGGGGAAGGAGCCTTGGTTTGGGCTGCCAGAGCCCTTCCCCGGACCAGTTTGCAGCGAGGCAGGGGTTGAAACATCACCTCGGTGCCATCTCTGAGCGTCCCTTGCTCCCTTATCGCCTTGGCTGCAAGGCGCTGAGACCACATCTCCTTCCAGAGACTGGTCCCGAAGCTTTTCGGTGCCTTTTGGCTGGGGTTATCAGAGCAGGAGCCGTGCTGATCGGGGATGGGGGAGGAGCTGGGCACAGGAGGGCTCGCGGGGGCTGCAGAGATGCTGAGGGCAGGCAGGGTGGGCCTGGATTCAGCGTTGCTGAGCGGGTGCCGGTGCCGGCACAGCCTCATTCCTCTCTCCCTCTTTTCCCAGCCCCATCTGCCGTGCCCACCATGCACCTGCACAGCAGCACGGGGAACAGCATGACGCTGTCGTGGACTCCCCCGGAGAGACCCAACGGCATCATTCTCGACTATGAGATCAAGTACTCCGAGAAGGTAAAGCACAGCAGCCACTCCTTCCCCCTGCCCCTTCTGGCTGGCATCTGGGGAAGGGGAGCAGCAACAGGGGGGCCAGGACAGCAGCGGTGACACCCCCGTGTCTCCCTTGCAGCAAGGCCAGAGCGATGGCATTGCCAACACCGTCACCAGCCAGAAGAACTCGGTGCGGCTGGACGGGCTGAAGGCCAACGCCCGCTACATGGTGCAGGTGCGGGCACGCACGGTGGCTGGGTACGGCCGCTACAGCCTCCCCACCGAGTTCCAGACGACTGCAGAGGACGGTAGGGACCGGGACAGGGCTGCCTCCTGCCCCCCAGCCCCCCAAAAGTGCTCCCTCCCCAGCCTGACTCTGATTCCTGCCTCTCCCTCCTCCAGGCTCCACCGGGAAGACTTTCCAGGAGCTGCCTCTGATCGTGGGCTCGGCCACTGCGGGGCTGCTCTTCGTCATCGTCGTGGTCGTCATCGCTATCGTCTGCTTCAGGTACTGGCCTTGCAGGGAGCAGGGCTGCAGAGCCAGCTTTGGGGGTTGCTCACGCCTGCAGGCAGAGCTCCAGCAGCTCCAGTCACGCAGCGAAGGACTGGACCTGCTGCACGGGGGTCCCGCAGGAGGACCGTGTGTCCCTGCCTCCCAGCACCAGCTCTGGGCTCTGCCCGGGCTCCTGCTGCCCTCTCTCAGCACAGCTGGGCTCTCTTCTGCCACCGCACCTCAGGCAGAGGTCGCTCTGCTCGCGGGCTGCCGGAGGGGAAGCTCTCTCTGGCTTCGGTTGCCTGTGCTGGGATTTGGAAGCTGGCAGCACGTGTCTTTGCCCCATCAGGAAAGGGATGGTTACTGAACACCTCCTCTCGTCTCCTTTGGGCAGGAAGCAGCGCAACAGCACAGATCCCGAGTACACGGAGAAGCTGCAGCAGTACGGTGAGTGGCAGCCCAGCACGTGGGCTCTGCCTGCCCTCTCCCAGGTCCCGTGCCGTGCCAGGCTGGCGTGGCACGTCACCCGGGTGGTGTCCCTCCCTGTGACGAGCCCTCTGTCCTTGCAGTCACCCCGGGGATGAAGGTCTACATTGACCCTTTCACTTACGAGGACCCCAACGAAGCAGTCCGGGAGTTTGCCAAAGAGATCGACATCTCCTGCGTCAAAATCGAGGAGGTCATCGGAGCAGGCAAGTCCCGGGGCTGGGCACAGCGGCTGCTGAGAGCACCGCCGGTCCCCTGGTCCCCCGGCTCACCCTGCTGTCCCCTCGTCCCCTTCCCACCCGCAGGGGAGTTCGGCGAGGTGTGCCGCGGGCGCCTGAAGCTGCCCGGCCGCCGCGAGATCTTCGTGGCCATCAAGACGCTGAAGGTGGGCTACACGGAGCGGCAGCGGCGCGATTTCCTCAGCGAGGCCAGCATCATGGGGCAGTTCGACCACCCCAACATCATCCACCTGGAGGGCGTGGTGACCAAGAGCCGCCCCGTCATGATCATCACCGAGTTCATGGAGAACTGCGCGCTCGACTCCTTCCTCCGGGTGAGCATCTCCTGCCTCGTGCTGTGGGGTGCCAGCCCCGAGCTCCCCTTCTCCATCCCTCTGCGTTGTCCTGGTGGCATCTCCAGGGATAAATTGCATCTCGGGGAAGAGGGATGACCCTAGGCAGGATAGGTAGCGTATTGGGATCCACCCCCAGCCTATTTGGGGTGCTGAAAACCCCTCTGTTCTCTCCCCGGGTAGCTGAATGACGGGCAGTTCACGGTCATCCAGCTGGTGGGGATGCTGCGAGGCATCGCTGCGGGCATGAAGTACCTGTCGGAGATGAACTACGTGCACCGCGACCTGGCTGCCCGCAACATCCTGGTCAACAGCAACTTGGTCTGCAAAGTGTCCGATTTCGGGCTCTCCCGCTTCCTGGAGGACGACCCGGCCGACCCCACCTACACCAGCTCCCTGGTACGGGGTGGGATGCTCGCGGGAGGCTGCAGGGCTGGGGGGGTGTGGGGTCTCACAAAGTATGTGCTAACCAAGGGAGCTGTCTGCTCGTGCAGGGGGGCAAGATCCCGATCAGATGGACGGCTCCTGAGGCCATCGCCTACCGCAAGTTCACCTCGGCCAGCGACGTGTGGAGCTACGGCATCGTCATGTGGGAAGTGATGTCCTACGGGGAGCGACCCTACTGGGACATGTCCAACCAGGACGTAAGTGCCCACCGGGGAGCTGGGGGTGCCCGGCAGGGACCCGAGAGGGGCTCACAGCCCCCGTGTGCGTCTCCCCGCAGGTGATCAACGCGGTGGAGCAGGATTACCGCCTGCCCCCCCCCATGGACTGCCCCACGGCGCTGCACCAGCTGATGCTGGACTGCTGGGTGCGGGACCGCAACCTGCGGCCCAAATTTGCACAGATCGTCAACACGCTGGACAAGCTGATCCGCAACGCTGCCAGCCTCAAGGTCATCGCCAGCGTCCAGTCTGGGTCAGTGGGGTCCCAGATCCCGGGGAACACAGGTGGCTGGGACTGGAGGCGTTGGGAGAGCAGGGACGAGAGAGGTCCCTGCTGCCAGGGACGACTCGGCGTCCCTCTTATCCCTCCGTGACCCGTGGCTCTCTCGCCCCGCAGCGTCTCCCAGCCGCTCCTGGACCGCACTGTGCCGGATTACACCACCTTCACCACCGTGGGAGACTGGCTGGACGCCATCAAAATGGGACGGTACAAGGAGAACTTCGTCAATGCCGGCTTTGCCTCCTTCGACCTGGTGGCACAGATGACGGCGGAGTAAGTCACCGCTCCGGGGGGCTGCGTGGGCACTCGCCTCTCCGGCACCCAGCTGCAGAGGGCAGATTTGGGGTGGGGGAGTGAGTTCCTAAGGGGGTTAAGCTCTGGGAATCAGCATCCAGACCTGCCAGGTCGCTGACTCTTCACCCTCTCTTTGCAGAGACCTGCTGAGGATAGGGGTGACGCTAGCAGGGCACCAGAAGAAGATCCTGAGCAGCATTCAGGACATGAGGCTGCAGATGAACCAGACGCTCCCGGTTCAGGTTTGACCGCAGGGGACTCTGCATTGGAACGGACCGAGGGAACCTGCCAACCAGGTTCAGTTTGCGGTGCAGCCCGGCTTCCCGATTCCCCCTTCCCGCGGCGCTCCTCTGCCTCGGACGCTCGCCTGGGACAGGCCGGGCCGGGCCGCCCTGCCCCGGATCGGAGGCACCCGTGCCGAGAGGGAGCCCGGCTTTTCGTCCCGTGTCCTGGAGCGGCGAGGCAGCGACGCAGTCTTCATATTGAAGATGGATTTATGGGACGGAGATGGCACATCCCGCTTCCCGCCCTGTCTCGGTGCTCATCGGTTTGAAGAGTTGTTCTGCTTCTTGGATTTCTTTTCACCCTGTTCTCCCCGCCCCGAGTCCTCACCGTCCCCCCGTCCCCGAGGCCACAGACTGTTGACCCCGTCCGCTGAGTCCGTCAGACGCGTCCGAAGCCTTCCCCGACCCCGGACCCCGCATGGAGGCAGCCGGGGGGAGGCCGAGCCCCCCGCGGCGTGGAGACGACGCCAGGGACGGGGCTGCCCGGCCCCAGACAATCACTTCTCTCCTCCCCCCCCCTCGCGGCCCCTCCGCACGAGGGTCTGCACTGGAACGTGTCCGAAGGGAAGGCTTCGCTCCCTTTCTTCTTGGCTTTGCACGCCAGAACCCGAACCCCGTGAGATTTTACTATGCAGGGAGTTAGGCAAAAAAAAAAAAAAAAAAAAAAAAAATTAAAAAAAAAATAGAGAGATATATTAAAAAAAAAAAAAAAAAAAAAAGAGGGAGCAGAAAAGGGGAGGGAGGGGGACCAGGTGCCCAGCTCCGCATCTCTTACCCTCTTGGTTCTCGTGGCCGGCTCTGGACTGCAGAGTGAGGCCGTCAGCACGTTTGCACAGGGACCCTCGGCCCCACGGCAGCCGCGCTCCTGCGAGAGGGGGGCCGGGGAGCGGGGCCCGGGGGGGCTGCAGCCGCGCAGGGGGGGGGCCTGGCCTCCCCCAGCCTCCTGTTTTATGCAGAAGGAGCGGGTGCCGCCGGCGCGGCCGCCCCCCCCCGCTCCTGCCACACGCTGTGATTGCTGCCAAAAGACTCACTCACCTTCCTCTGACTCTTCACTGCAGCCCGGTTCCTCCAAGCTGAGGGAGAGAACTCCCAGCGTGCGTGAGTGTGCGTGAGTTGTGTGCGTGCGTGCGTGTGTGCTGGCCGGCAGGACTGTGTGAGGCAATGGGCAGAATAAAGGCAATAAGAATTTTAACGGCGTCTCCTTGGCTCCGTCGCTCTCGCTGCACCAGCGCAGGGGGCTGGGGGCTGGCTCTGTGCCCCCCTCTTCCTGCTCCACAATTTGTCTCGCTGCCGGGCACGGACCTGGTGCCAGCCCTGCGGTGCCCGAGGACGCACGGCGTGCACCCTGGTGGGGCGCAAAGGGTTGGAGGTAACGAGTCCCGGGGCAGAGCCAGGTGCTGAAACCCCACCTGGTGCCGCAGGAGATGCTGGTAATGGTTTTTCCCATCCCCTCCTCGCATCAAGCCCGACATTTGGGACCCAAATGCGGTGAGTGAAAACAGAGCGGGGCCATTCTCTGCCCCAGAGCGAGCGGGGAGCACCACGCACCCCCAGGATTTGTCCCCGAGGCTCGTCCCCAGCCCCACACAGCCCTCCCGTGGCCACCGCCAGCCTGCCCGGGGTGGCCCAGCCGGCTTTTCCCAGGCGATGGCCTCCGTGAGTCACCCCCACCTGCCTCCCCAGCTGGCAGCCGCCCGGCCAGGTGCGAGCACCACCACTTCAAAGGCACCCGGCACAGGAAAAATCCTGGGGTGCTCCCGTGGGGAGAGCAGGGCTGGGGTCCCCACACCCCTGGGGTCCCCAAACCTATGGGGTCCCCGGGGCTCCCCGTCCCCAAAGGGCTCGCACATCTCGGGGGGCTTCTTGGTGGCCACGCGCCTCCAGCTCCCCAAAACCCACGGGGTCCTCCCCTGCCCAGCTGGCGGTGGCAGAGCCAGGTGCTGTTTTTCCCCTTTTCCTTGGAACTCGCCCGCCCTTGGGTTTCTCATTAACCCCGTTCCCCAGTGCAGGAACAGCAAACAAGGCGGGGGGGTTGGTGGGGCCCCGCGCAGCGCAGCAACGTGGAAGGGGCTCCCCACGTCCCACCACCCCTCTGCTGCGGGGTGCCCAGGGTCTCCTGCACCGTTCCCCTTCCCTTGGGGTTTTCTGTTTGGGTCCCTGCTGTGGGGACCTTCCCCCAGGTGCCCGGCTCCACAGGGGTCCTGGTGCTGCAGGGCTGGGGTCCCCGCAGCATCCCCACGATGCTCGATCCTGGCTTGGCTTGGCTTTTTGGGGGAGTTCTGCTCGTTTTAAATAGCAAACCCGCAACAAACCACTTCTGCCTTCTCATTTCCCCAGCTCCGGGTCTCCCTCAGCCCCCACACCGCGGGGTTTGCCCCTCGGGGGTTTGCCCCATACCTTCCCCTTCCTTTTTATACAGGTTCGTACGCGGAGCGGTGCGTTCAACGGTGAGAGGAGAAACAAAAGCAGCAGCAGCAGGAATTAATGCGAGCGTGCGTTTGTATAAATCTTTTTTAACAAAAAAAAAAAAAAAAAAAAGACTTTTTTTTTTTTCAATTAAATTATTTAAGGAATTTTATGGAGGTCTGCGGTGCCCGCGTGGTTCTTGTGGGGTCGTTGCAGCGGGGGGCTCTGCGCCGGGCGGGCACGTGGGTGGGTGTGCACATGTGTGAGTGTAAGAGCGGGGTGCAGCCCCAGCATCCCCCAATTTGCTCCCCACCACCCCCATGGGCAGACCTCGGGGGAATTTGGGGGGCTGTGGGGACGGGGAGAGCCTGGGGTGGTCCTGGGGGAGCGGGGCGGGGGGGAGGCGAGCCCTGCCTGCGCCCTGCGCTTCCCCCCTCCCAGCCCGCGCCAAAGAGCCTTTTGTGCTGCTGGGATTTTTTTTTTTTTCCCCCCCTTTTAATTCCTAACCAGGAGATTAAGGGAAGACAAAGGCTCCGATTGTTCCCGCTCTGCCGAGATCTGGAAAGTTCGGGGAGGGGGGAACCGTCTCTTTCCAGACGGCTCGGCGCAGGGGGACGCGCAGCCCAGGTGGAGGGGCCTGGGCCGGGGGGGACACCCGGGGGGACACCGGGGGGGGGACACCCAGGCCCTGTCCCCATAGTGCTGGGGGCTGGGGCCACCACTGGTTTGGGTGCTGGTGGCCCCGGGAGCGGGGCCCTTCCCCTGGCCGTGGGGAGCGAGCTGCCGGGGCCACCCGGCCGGGGCTGGGTCCGGAGCTCCCGAGCCTCTCCCCTGCAAAGGAGGAGGAAGATTTAGGATGGATTGGCCGGCTCGCCCGGCTTCTTGGCGTTTTCGCTGCTAACTCTTGGCTGACACCTCCGTGACTTGGCAGGGAGACGCTCCAGCAGCCCCGTCAGCTGCCTGGGGCCGGCGCAGCTGGAAGGGATCACGGCTCGGCACGGCTCGGCCCGTGGAGGACACCATCCAGGGGGCCGCGGGTGCCCGGGCATCCTGCACGGCCCCGTGGTGCCACGGCCCTGGTGCCATCCCCATGGGAAGCCGAGCTGGGGCCGCATCCTGCAGGGTGCTCGGCGAGGCGTGCAGGGGGCCGGGTGGCTCCTCGCCTCGTGGCCACAGCCAGGGACACGTCGTGGCCCGGCCCGGGGCTGTCCCCAAGAGGCACGGGGCCGGGACCCGGCGTGTTTTCCCATGCTCGCAGGGAGCAGCGAGACACCCACGAGCGCCCCGGCTCTGCTCCTTCTGTTTCCCGTTAAGATTATTTATTGGTAATTTTTAAGACCACTTACAGACTCTGTTCGTGTGCCAGGACCCTACACAGCTTTTTCCCAGGGCTTTTTTTTTTTTTTCCAATTTATAAAAAAAAAAAAAATCTTGGTTTAATCATTTTCTTCCCACTCCTTCCTTCCAGACTCCTTTGGTACCCAGCGGGGTGCTGGCACATGGCGCAGTGCCCGGCCCCAACCACACCACAGCCACACCGGGGCCGTGTCCTCGCCCCCCCACGAGCCCGAGCACCACGGGGACATCGGGGACAACCCCACAACCCCCCCAGGTGACATCCCAGCACGGCACGCAGAGGGGAAACCTTCCCAAAAAGGGGCTGCGGCTCCAGGGAGGGCGCAGGAGGCGGCTCCCCCCGGATGCCTGGGAGCTGACATCGCCTTTGGCAGCGCGCAGCCAGCGAGGAGGGCTCGGGGCAAAGGCGCCCGCGTCCAACATCCCGGGGACTCCTCGAGGAGCAGAACCGTGCCGGGCCATGGGGACAAAAGCAGCTTTGGGTTATCGAAGGAAACCTTCGACCCGCTTGGGAAGGGCTCGGACCGTGGGGGGAAACCAGGGGGAAATTCGTGCAGCCTGGTTTGTAGGGCTGGTCACACTGGGCACTCGCTGCGAGGATGGTTCTTCTTGGGGCTTGGGATTTGGCTCAGCAGGTATCAGCCCCAGCCCATCCCTGGTGGCTCACTGGCCCCGCACTGGGCGGCGATGCCTGCGCCCAGCTCCTCCTGCCTCCTGCCACCCGCCCCTGCTTTCGGCTTCTCCCAAAGCGACACTGGGAGGAAACGGGGAAATTGCTTCCCCGCTCCCCGCACCACTCCTCCTTCCCGGCCGGAAGCCCGGCGGGCTGCTGAGCCCCTTTTATTGCCCTCATTCCTCTTTGATCTCCTCCTCGCTGCCCCTCCAGTATCACCGCCGTGCCCGGCCGGGGGCCGTGGGGCAGTCCCGGGTGTCAGACAGGTTCTGCGGCACATTTCTGCCTAATGAGAAATTTCCTCTCCCCGTGCTTCGCTGGTTTTTTTTTAGCACCGGTATCGCTACCCCACCTCTGCCTCCGCCGGGCGGGCTGAGTCACGGGGGCGTGCGGGCACCTCCCGGCACGCTCCGCGTCCCCGCTGGCCCTTCTCTTGCCGGCCCTGGCAGCGATCCCTCTCCCCCAGTTTCCCCTGGGATGGCACCAGCGTGAGCCCAGCGACCCCCCAGTTCCTGGTGACCCCTCCTAGCAGCCCCAGTGTATGAGTGAGATTCCTGGGAGCGATGCTCCCCGCTGCTCCCCGCCGCCGCCCCGGCTCCCCGGTCCGTGCTCGGGGGAACCGCAGCTCCAGGCGGCTGCTGGAGTTCAAAGGGAAGGGGAAAAGCAGCAATTCCCCCTCTGCGTGAGGGTTTCGGCTCGGCTCCCCGCTCGCAGGCTCCCCGCCGCCCGCAGCCTGCGGTCGCTCCGTGCCTTAACGGGTTTCCTGGCTCGGAGCTCACTAATGAGCCGGCGTGGGAAGCGGCGAGGGCTGAATGCCCCCGAAATTGGGGCAGCGGAGGGAGGCGAGAGGCTCCCGGTGCGCAGCACGTGGTGGGAGGAGAGGGGCTCCCATCCTGCTCCCCCCATGGGGACCCTGGGGACCTGCCTGCTCCTGGGGCTCCCCAGCTGGCCCCAGCACCCCCCTGCCACCCCTCCTGCCCCCCGAGGGCAGGGTGCCACGCCAGGCTCCACGCCAGCCCCGCTGCTTGGCTCGGCCCCCTCTCGATGCAGGTGTCCCCCGTCCCGCTGTCCCCAGCATCGTCACCCAGGCGTGGAGCAAAGGCTGCGCCCCGGGAGGACACAGCTGAAACCATGACCCATCCCGCGGTGACTCAGGCTGTGCCGGGCAGCCTGCGCTGGAAACCACCTGCCAGCCCCGTCCCCAGCCCCAGCCCCGTCCCCAGCCCTGTCCCCAGCCCGCAGTGCCAGGAACCCAGGCCCAGAGTGGCCGTGTGGCCGCAGGGGCCTGCGATGGAGAGGAGGAAAAGCTCCTTGCGTGGTGTCGGTGTTTGCAGCCGTGCCTTGCACAAGCAGGAGCCGGCAGAGGAGCGGAGCCTGGGGCAGGAGCAAACAACGCTCCGTGCCAGCAGCCCCGACCCGATCCGGCTGCAGGAAGCATGGGGAGGCCAAGGGGAGCACATGGGGAAGCACAAAACCCCCGGGGACAGCCCCCCCAGCAGCCGTCCGAGCCCGTGGTGTCCCCACGTCCCCGTGGCAGGAGATGCGCAGCGCTGCGCCTGCACCCGGGGGTCCCGTCCGTGCGCACCCCAGCCCCTGCTCCCGGATAATCCCATCCCTTATCTCGCTCCTGAGCTTCACAGCCCCCGGCCTCGCTGCTCTGCTCTCCTTTTCCCAAGGTGGCAGCCGGGGGGTGAGAGGCTCGGGGGGTCCCTGCCCTGCTGCCCCCCGGCCAGGCTGCGAGCAGGTGGATTTATGGC